CTGAATGGCCTGAAAATATACATTTCAAAGAAATATTTAATATATTTAGCTATATCTTTACTATTGCTAAAAATTACTGAATATAAATGTTTTTTTTATATATATATTTGGCCTACAAGTAATTAGATAATGCATGGGACATACCTTTACAATGACATCTGGCAGGCCAGCTGTCATCCTGGAGAGTGTATCTTTAGTGCTTAGAGTCTTTGTCATCAGGACTTCCAGTGTTGGAATAAGGGCACCATAGGAGCAGTTATCCCCTTGCAGGATGTCCAGTGCAGCTGTCAGGGGCTTCATTGAAGTGCAGTATTCCATCAGGAACTGGTTCTCTTTTTCATTAAAGCACTTGACTTCTAACTTGTTGCACAGTGTATTCAGATCATTCATGGGAATTTCTGTGATCCTGGAAACAGCCTCAAAATAAGAATTCCACCTTGTGGATGCTGGCACCAGGAGCTTTCTTTGGCTGACATCTTCTACATGCTCTGATGCAGCTGTTGATCTACTTGCTTTGGTCCAAAGAGCTGTGCATTTAGCAATGCTAACCCTATATACAGCTCTAGTGTTTGTATTTTCAGTTATGAATTTTTCAACATCACTGGTAGAAACTAGGCTGAGAGTATGTGATGCACAGCGGTAGTGTGGGGGGAGTGTCAGCTGGTTGTCCTCCTCGTTCACAGTGGAGGGGGCTTCTGTGATATCAGTGAAGGTTATGCCTTCCTCAGCCTCTTCTTCATCATCGTCTGACTCACTAACATGTTGGTATGTTTTAAATGCTTTAACAAAATTTGAGCCATTGTCTGTTACAGTGGCGACAACTTTGTTGAGCACCCCAGATGAAGAATGAATTTGTTCCAACTCTGAAGCAATGACATCATATGTGTGCCTGCCCCTTATTCTCTTACATGCGAGAGCTGCTGTCTTGCGCTGTAAAGTGCATGGATTGAACCAGTGTATAGTAACCCCCATATAGCTTTTATTATGAGATGTCCAAAAGTCCGCAGTAGTCGACACAAAGTTTACCGCCTGCAGTGCGGCCCTCAGATTGGCCTCCATTGTAGCATATTCCTAAATCTAAATAAATCTAATTCCTTTCTATCTAAATAGTTAGAAAATGCTTTTCTCTGAGGCAGCCCTGCATTATTCCGTGTGCGTATTTTGTCGATTAAACCGCGAAAAGACGGCGAGTCCACTGTGGATATGGGAAGCATTTCCTCGACTATGTAAGCAGCAACAAGTTTTTTCAAGTTTTCCCCACTCACCAGTTGACTTGAAAAGTCTAGTCTGAGCTGTTTAGTTGCAGGAAAAGATGAATCCGAGTCTGTGTCGGGGACTGACCCCGCTTTCTCCACTAGCCTAACAGCACTGTGTTGTCCTTTGAGATGTTTAGATAGATTTGAACTCTTAGCGGTTGAAAATCTTTTGTCTCCCGGACATAAGACACACTGTACAATTATGTTTTTGCCCTTAGTTTCAACAAATTTAAAATAATGTTTGTATTTCCACGAGTAAAAAGCGCCCTTTTCTCCCTCCGGTGGTCTCTCTATGCTGCAGTGTTTGGCCCAATCCCAAACTGGTCCCTACACACTCCGCCTCACCACTCCGCCTTCGTTTGCGCGTTCCCGAGACCCGTCGCCATGTTGAAGTGTGTCTCAAAGCAGCAAGGGCTAAGGGGGAGTGGTCGATTATGCCCTCCTTTAGCGAGTCAGCAACGATGGTGGCTCGCGCGATTCCACTACAGTACCACTTCCATATCCCACAATTCCTAGCGCACAGGAAACAGAGCAGCGCGATAATTTAATAATTGGATTCTAACAGCACTGTGAAATACATATAGAAAGTCTATGTTACATGTTATAATTCATCGCTGCAGAAAAAAAATTAGGAAAGCAGTTATTTATAGCTGGTCAGTACAGATAGATTTTATCGTGATCCGATTACGAGAGATTTTGTGTACTTTTCAAACTAGAAACCACGCGAAGAAACATTCGTACGCAAACTCGATCAACATCACACCAGCAATAACAATTTATGTTTCATATTTGCCTGTTTTTTCCTCTACTGATCTGGATCTGGTATTTGGTACAGAAGTAATGCGTAATGTTTTATGCGTGTAAACTTATTAAGTTTACACGCATGGTAGAAATTGTACAATCGTCAATATGACATGTGTACATACTTAAAATTGCTCAGTGCAATAAGACGACGTAGCCGTCGTCTTTTCGCATTAGATAAACTTTGTGCTTTTTTAAAATAACTGATATATGTCATTAAAGAAAATACAATACAGCTTCTTGATGGATCCATTTCGTCAAATCACTACGTAATGCATTTCCTCTTTCCGGTAAAGAAGACTGTAAAAAGGCGCTGCGAGGGCAAGTCTGTCTCAAATCTTTCTTGTGACAGTTTCCTTCAGTTTAAGTGCATAGGGCGTGTTGTGAGGGTGACTCGGCGGGAGTGTGACTCGAAATGAAGGCGGAGTGTCGAGGGTATAGTTTGGGATTGGGCCTTTGTGTGGCTGCGTCTCGGATTGATGACGTTACGTAGCGCCGCGCGCGGTTGCTTGATGATTTTTGCAACTGTATTTCATTATTATTATTTTTGCATAAAACTGGCTAATCTGACGTCTTCAGTGCAACACAATAGTAACGACGCGTTAGTCAGGTAGTAACTATAATCTGATTACTGCCTTCTAAAATGTAACGCCGTTAGATTACTCCGTTACTTAAAAAGTAATCTAATTACTGTAACGCGTTACTAGTAACATGTTACTGCCCATCACTGCTGACAGCAGAGGCTATTTTTCCTCATGCTTCCTTTGGATTTATGTCTAATCAAAATTTTTCAATTTTGTTCTGACTCCATAATTCAGGAGACCGAATACAAACATCCCCCAACAATCTCTGCATGTGTAAACACTGATCAGAATAATATTAAACTTTTTTTCAAACACCAATAACATTTTTTTTGATATTTAAAAAGAAACTAAATGATGGATGAATAAGGAATACAGACATAGTAATTAGTGACAGTAGTCAGTGAAATTGCCATTAAGGATCTACAAACAATGTACAAAAAAACATATTTAAATGTGTCAGGAATTCATGTTTTTTTCTTGATAATACACCACTAATATGTATGATTGATATGTAACATTTATTGCAAAGTTGCTACATCCTTAGATGTATACAGACATGCTGACCAGGCTGTCTAATATCAGTTAGATGAACCTTCATTACTAGCAAATACAAAGTAACATTATAAAAGTGGACATTATAGGAACTTCCTTGTTCATTCTTAACATATCTATCCTTCAATCCATCCATCAAATATCTATCCTTTCATCTTGTAACCTCTGGCCAGGGTCATTCATGCAATTGTAAATGAATTCAGACTGCGATAAATAAATTAAATGTGTCTGTGTGTATCTGTGGTCCAACCTTTTACAGCTGATTAAATAAGCCCAAGATGAGACAGATGGGTCTTGACTTGAAGGAAAGAAATGGATGTCGTCCCCACTGAATGCACCTGTCGGGATGCCTGCCGAAGGGCCTGACGCAACTTGTTTCTGTCATCTTAAGCCAGGTGCCCTATGAGTAAGAAATGAACGCATTCGAAAACAAGACAGGGCAAGTCGTGATGAGTCTGGAACATTGGCGAGTGGCTGCGAGAAATTGGTTTAGCTAATAGTGACGGAGAAAAAGCATTCTGGGGTAATGGCCCTCCTCACCCTGTCATATTGGTTCCTCCACATTCGATGGTGCTCCTATTTGCATCCACCTCATAGTTTAATGAGATTTTTTTTTTCCCATCAAGAATATTTTTGTTTGTTTCGCTTCTGTGGCAAGAGATTGGGAAATGCTAATTCTGGGGAGAAAAGAGGACCTGTGTTTTTAGTATTCTAGCCTGTTTTCTTGTGTTATCGCCAAAGGATGATCCCTGGAGTGTTATTCTTACTGCTAGCATATCAAGACTGATAATTGAGGTGACCTAGCAGCACCCCGGGGCTCTCGTCTGGCTGTGACTGCAAACGATGCAGGCGCACAGAAAGAGGCCTTTTTCCAATACGACATCTACTGCGTTGATCTGCTGATGTGGCATTCTCAGTGTCCTTGGAAAGTGGCATTCCATCCAGTAGGTGGTGTGTTTCACATTTATTAATTTTAGCTCTCACTGCAAAGAATAAAAAATAAATTAAAAGAAAAATAAATTGTAAATTCTAAGCCGGTGTGGTGCATAAATATGTAGATTCTCCAGAGTCCAATGCATATAAGCACAAAATAAATAATACAATTAAACAATTTTCCCATTATTTGACATTACGTTACTGCACTTGATAATGTTCAGCCTCATATTTCCATGGAATAAATACATTTTTAGAGGTAAAAATGGAGGCATGTAAAAATAAAAGCGTAATATTTCCTTACCCATGTACGTTCGGTGGCCCTGAAGTGAAAAGAGAAAAACAAAAAGAAAAAGCAAAAACAAAAACTTTAAGCCCTGAAGTGTAGATCAGCATACAAAACAAAAACCCATGGTCCTGAAGTGCAGATGCAACAAACAAACACAAAAACTTGCAGCCCTGGGGCCTGTTTCAGAAAGCAGGATTTAACACAGTCTGGGCTAACTGTAAGTGAACGAAGATAGACTGGGGTATCTTAAATCCCACAAGTTATCCGGCTAAGCAAGACATTTTATGTTTTGAAAGAGGTCCCTGAAGTGCACAACACGAAAACAAAAAAGAAAATACAATAACAAAAATTTGCAGCTCTTAAGTGCAAAACACACAAACAGAAAATGCAAAAAAAAAAGCATAAACCTGTTGTCCTGAGGTGCAGAAGCTCTGTGTTCCACAAAGCAGGTTCTTGCTTGGCTGGGTAACTTGTTGGATTTAAGGAAGTCGGAGCTAGATGGATTTTGTCTTCATTCACTTACACTTTGACTTTCTTAAATCTGACAAGTTATAGGCTAAGAAAAGGAATCACAAAAACAAAATCTTGCAGCTCTGAAGTGTAAAATCAAACAGAAAATGCAGAAAACCAAAAATGTGGTCCTGAGATGCAGAGAACTTGACGAATGACAACTGTCATGCGGAATCTCATCCCCGGGTGCGTTTTATTAGCATAATTAAATTCAGCACGATAGCGATATATTTTATCGATTATCACTGTCAGACCGACGGCGAGCATGGAGCGGGGAATCAGGGTCAGGCAGACGCAGAAATCCCAAGACAACTAAGGGGTTTATTGCAGACAAATCACGAAGACACGGTACAGACTTCAATAACAAGACTGGGAAAACATACGCTGACGTGGATTTAAATACACAGGACTAATGACGGAAACAAGGAACAGCAGATAACATCGGGATTTCACAGGAGGTTAACGAGGGGGGCGTGGCACACAAGAAGATCGTACGAGCCGGGCGTGACAATCATATTATATCTAATTAGCTTCACGTTTTATTGATTATTACTGAAATACATTATTACATGAAAGACATTTAAGAGTGTTTTAAAAATATGTTTTATGATTTTTTTTTTAATTGTTCACATTTAGCTGGATTTTATAACTGATGTTTTACTATAGACATGTTTAATTAGATTATTAATGCTCATATAGCTTGAGAGTGAAATGTTTTATTGACTAAAACATATGCATATTTAGTTGGATAATGACACGTTTTAATGATTATAACCATATATTTAGCTCCATAGCGTCATGTTTTATTGACTATTACCTGTAAATACATTTATGAATGTTTTAAAAAGGTATGTTTTTATGAATTATTTTTTTAAATTGTTCACATTTAGGCTGGGTAGTATAACTGATGTTTTATTATGGTTCAACGAACATATTTCATTAGATTACTAATGTGTGGTTTGGGATGCGACGAAGGACGCGGGAACGGATGTGATGAGGGTATCTATAAATACGAAAAATACAAAACTGAAAATAATCAGGATGATGGGAAAACTAAACAGGGACGACAAAGGAAAGCAACACATGAATAACACCAGGAGACAAAATTAATGATGAATCTGAGGAACACAGGACTTGGAGGAATTCATATGCATGAATAACGTGGGAACAGACAACAGGCAGCTGGGGGTGACACCTTACAACAATTATTTTATTAGTTTTCAATCAAACATCCATTTATGCAGATTGGCTATTTCTAACCAGAGATGTCCAAAAATGCCCTTAGTTTAAATATAGATGGACCCTGGCAGAGCCCATTTCCGCCTCCTTATGTCCAAATTTCACCTTCACAGAGCTCAGCTCCACCTCCTTATGTCCAAATTGCACCTTCACAGAGCTCAGCTCCACCTCCTTATGTCCAAATTGCACCTTCACAGAGCTCAGCTCCATCAATGTTAACCATTTTTTCTTAATGTCCCAAAATTTTGTACAAGATTCAAAGTGAACGGTGTAATTAATAAAAGGTCAGTTTTACACTGATTTTTTTAAAATTATTTTTATAAAAAAAAAAAAACAAAAACAAAAAAAATTTATTTATTATTATGTTAATTTTCATTAGTAGCTCTGACCAGACATTTATTTCTCGAGTGGATGAGATATTCCTACATGACCTCTTCATTTCTGTCTCGTGTTTTTGTATTTGACTAATTTCCCTTACCATACTGCAGCCAAACCTTCACTTACTAGCTAAATTCTGTTAGAGGTCAGAAGTGTAAGAAGCAATCTGCGATTAGCTTGAAATTTTAATGCACTTTCATGGGGACATTATGTAGGGTGACCAGACAATCCATGTCAGGGAGGACACTTTGAGCTACTTCGGATTTTACAAACTACTTTCTAATTGAAAGGCTCCTGTGCTCGGCTAAATAGTTTAGCTCTTCTTGTGCTTTGACTGGTTTGTTTCCTTGACTGAAAGACTCATCCAGCTGTTTCACATTAGCATTAGTGACACATGCATGATTATAGGAGACTGACTAATCAGCACACAGCAAGAACTCAGTGATCAAGTGAAATCCAGGTCCGTTTAATTGAAATGGTAATTTACAATTCCTGTCCTAGCTCAGAGTGTCCTCCCTGACATGGATTATCTGGTCACCCTACATTATGAATGAATAAGTGTCAGGAGATCATTCCCTGCCATGTCCTTTCTGTCATTTCCCTGCTTGGCCAGCAGGTGTCGCTGGCCATCCCATTGCTAGTGTTTGAGTCCTTTGTGATTATTAACGATCCACATCTGATCCTTGTTAGTCCTAGAACTAGTGTTTAGTTTGTTGCCCATGGCCACATCTGTTTTCTTGTCTCGTCTTAGCTTGTCTTGTTCTAGCTGGTTACCTGCCAGTACTTTTGAGATTGTAGTAGATGTTTTTGCTGCAGTTTCTTGTGCTTACCCTCACGTGTAGTTCCAGCCCTTGTTTTCCTCACGTAACCAACCAGCATTTTTTCTAACCCTCATGGTCCCTTTTGTTTCTTGCGAGTTTGAGTTCATTTTGAATAAAGTTCCTGCTTGTTTGTGAGCTGCACTGTGGATCTTTATTCCTTTCATCATGAGTCCCTGTGACAATAAGCAAGAGTATTAGTGTAAGCTATTTCAATGGATTTACCTGTTTTATTACAAAAAAATTCAAGTACTATTTAACCACATGATATGTACAATACCCATGTCAAATGAATATAACTCTTAGATCAGAAGATTTTGTTTATTTTGTTTTGCTAAGCACAACATGCCAACAAATGGCCATAATGCACCTTTAAGATTGTGATCACAAATATTTATGATAACTACTAAACTAATATACAAAGCAGCTTATTCAGGAACCCCAGAGGTGGCAAAAAAACTCCATGTGAAGTGTAAATTATTAATATCAGCAAAGAGAATTTAAAAAATTTACATTTTTGGGAAAAAACAGAATACACAAATAAAGCAGATTTGTCATTTCAGTGCAGTATATAATCGGATACCCTCAGGGGCCCCCTGACCCAGCTCGGGGCCCCAAGCTGATGCCTGCCCTGCCTGTTCTGTATCATGCTGGGCTCCCCCTCTTCTCTGATTCTGATTCAGCCACTGGCAATGCCTGTACATAATGACTGGAGGCATAACATGTTACATATACGTGAAAAAAAATCCTTTACTGCAGTGGTAAAAAAAAAATGATCACATTGAAAAGACTAGCCTGAAGGAATGAGAAAAGCAGATAGGCAATATCCACAATAAGGTTAGAACTGTTATGAAAAGAAGGTGCGAGTGTTTAATTTTCAATGCAATTCATTTACATTTTTTTTAATTAAAGAAGCACAAGTGATCAAGAATACTATTATTAAGGTAACCTAGTGTCATATATGAATTAAATATTTTATTAAATATATTAATTATTGATACTGGAAGGCTTTAGTGTTAAAATCAGAAGTAATTAGAGGAATAATTAGTTCTAAACTGGAACCTGCTATACTGACCTCATAAAATCTAGAAAAACATATTACTTTTATAAAAAAAACATATTACTATTATAAAACTTACTATGCACAATTTTGTAGAAATTTCAATAAACAAATGCAATTTTATTGGTCAGGAGGGAATATGTACTTCATATTCATTCCTAGTGAGGGAATTTTAATCACAGAAGGGCATCGTTTGGGAGAATCAATGCATTTTTGGATTTTTAAAAAATCCTTCATTATAAATCAGGCCAAAGGACAGACTTACTGATAAACCTCATCTTATACACCTGGAATCGATAGCAGGGAATATATTAAGCTTATTTAAAGTTTCTCTAAATCAGCTTGAAATTGCCTCAAAAAGGCTAGAAGTTTAAAAGGTTGGATCAATTGTAACACTACATATTACGCAATGTGACGTATTATTTCATGGGTCGTCCAGTGACTCAGCACCCACTGTTACTGCAGCCTTCCAGTGAAATTGTTTAAAATGTTCTCCACATTTTGAGGCAGTTTCCTCCACTACTCGAAATATGTCTTTAAGAAAGCTTTAACACCTCAGGAATGTATAAAACCATAAAAACCAAGGAACACTGGGTTTATGAGATCTGAAACTCAAACATTTTAAAAACACATTATTAAAAATAGGAGGATAATGAAAAAAATACACTGGTTGCATAAATCAGGTTTTAGTGTTTTGTTAACATATTCCGAATTTCTGTGGGAAAGATGAGATCTAAGTACCAAAAATAAGACCTGGGAAAATAACACCGTTTGAAAACAGAAAAATAAATATTTAACCTGAGGGAGGCATTAAATCAAAAGATGGCAGATGCTACTTCATTAGCTTCTCCTTCTCCTTTGTGGGAGTTTCTGGCGCTATGTGAAAAATAAAATCAAGCTGAAATGGAAAACCAAAAATGCATCACTGCATTGCTGATTATAAAGGTAACTTTATTTGAAGCTGTCATCTATAATGCATTATAGATAATACATTATAACGGCCGGTATAAGAATTAGTAAAGCATTACAGCACCTTCTATTGACAGACATAAGGCATTATACTGTTGATTGAAATACTTCAAAAGCTCCAATGAAGCTCACCTATAGTGCACTATAGATACCTTCATAATGCATTATAAAGATCAGTATAAGAATTATGCTTTGTACTGCATTATGAAGGTATCTATAGTGTATTATAGATGCGAGCTTCATAAAGCATCAACAATGCATAATAAACATGGCTATAATGCTTATGGCTATATATAGCCATATTTATAATGCTTTATAATTGCATTGTGTTATTAATGTGTTCATAGATTCTTAGAGACCTGGCAATCATGGAAAGTGTTACCATTATAATGTGCAATGTTCCGTGCCCAGGCACAAGTTTATTAGAATAAACATGTTTTATGAGCAGGGTGAGCAGATTCTCTGGGATCTTCACTCTCCTGCACTACAGCAGTTGCCTTATTGACAGTATATGGTGCTTCTTAAACCTGTTAGATTACTGTACATTACCGGTATCACTATAATGGAAGATGCCGCTACACCAGCATACGTATTAATATTTCAGGCCAAGTTGCAGGGGATGCTGCCTCGCATTGCCTTCGAAGGACAGAGGAAGAATGTGCGGAACCCCTGTTTGTACCCATGTTAGTAAATTTCCAATAGTACAGTACAGTTACGTATTTTCTACTGCTCCGGAAAAGTATATGCATATACTATTCTATTCCAATATAATAATATATTGGGTGAGAATCTAACTCCCGTTATATGATTCTTAGGGATTGATTCTTGTTTCTAAACTTCACATAAAATATTTTTTTAAGTAAGCAGTTAGTCAAGTTGTAACAGATATCAT